ACAAAAGAAACTATCGTTAGAATGAACAGGCAACATACAGAATGGAAGAAAATCTTTGCAATCTATCCATCTGACAAAGGGCTAATATCCAGGATCTACAAAGAACTTAAACAAATTTACAAGAAAAAAACAAACAACCCCATCAAAAAGTGAGCAAAGCATATGAACAGACACTTCTCAAAAGAAGACATTTATGCAGCCAACAAACATATGAAAAAAAGCTCATCATTACTGGTCATTAGAGAAATGCAGATCAAAACCACATTGAGATACCATCTCACGTCAGTTAGAATGGGGATCATTAAAAAGTCTGGAAACAGCAGATGCTGGAGAGGATGTGGAGAAATAGAAATGCATTTACACTGTTGGTGAGAGTGTAAATTAGTTCAACCATTGTGGAAGACAGTGTGGCGATTCCTCAAGGATCTAGAAGTAGAAATACCAATTGACCAAGCAATCCCATTACTGGGTATTTATCCAAAGGATTATAAGTCATTCTATCATAAAGACACAAGCACACATATGTTTATTGTGGCACTGTTCCAGGCAAAGACTTAGAACCAACCCAAATGCCCAACAATGATAGACTAGATAAAGAAAATGTGGCACATATACACCATGAAATACTATGCAGCCATAAAAAAGGATGAGTTCATGTCCTTTGCAGGGACATGGATAAAGCTGGAAACCATCATTTTCAGCAAACTAACACAAGAACAAAAAGCCCAACACTTCACGTTCTCATTCATAAGTGGGACTTTAATAATAAGAACACATGGACACAAGGGGGCAACATCACACCTTGGGGCCTATCAGGGAGTCGTGGGGGCTAGGGGAGAGAGAGCATTAGGAGAAATACCTAATGTAGATGACGGGTTGATAGATTCAGCAAACCACTATGGCACATGTATACCTATGTAATAAATCTGCATGTTTTGCACATGTACCCCAGAACTTAAAGTATAATAATAAAAAAACTATACAACTATGACAACTCAATGTGAAGCAGATCATTGCATAGCAATAATTAAGGAAATGTAATTCTCAACTAAAAATTACATAAAGCAAGTCTCCAGGCCCCAATATTTTCACTGAAGAATCCTATCAAATGTTTAAAGAAGAATAAGCAGTAATTATACAGAACATATTTTAAGAAACAGAATTGGAAATATTTCTCAATTTAGTTTATGAAGCCAGTGTTACCTGATAATGAAACCATACCAAGACAGTACAACAAAAGGAAACTACAGATAAATATCCTTTACCAATATAGATGTAAAATTCCTTAACAAAATATTAGCAAACATAATTCAACAATATATAAAAGGAATTATGCACCATGACCAATTGGAATCTGTTCCAGGGATACAAGGCTGATTTGATATTTGAATATCAATTAATATCACCCTCCATATTAATAGACTAACAAGGAAAACTTACATAATTATACAAATCTATGCAGAAAAAACTTTTGAGAAAATTCAATAAGCATTCATGATAAAAAAAAATACTGAGAAAAATAGGAATAGAGCAGAACTTCTTTAACCTTATATAAAGCATCTAAAAAATTCCTTACAGCTAACATTATACTTAGTGGAGAAAGACTGCATACCTTTTTTCCTAACATTGGGAACAAGAAAAAACATTCACTCTCACCACTCTGATTCAACATAGTGATGGAAGTTCTATCCAGCGTAATAAAACATAAATGGGAAATAAAAGGCACAGAGATTACAAAGAAAGAAAACGGCTCTTATTTGCAGATGATGTGATAGTCTACATAGAGAATCCCAAGAAACCAACAAGAAAAATTTCTAGAACTAATAAATAAGTACATCATAGTTGCAGGATATATGGTAACCATATAAGAACAAAAATCAAATAATTATATGCTAGAATAAACATATGGACACCAAAATTGAAAGTGCAATACCATTTACATTAACTGAAAAAATGAAATATTTAAGCATAAATTAACACACCACCTGCAGGACTTGTATGTTGAAAACTACAGACCACTGTTGAAAGAAGTACAAGTTTTCAGTCAATAAAGGGACATCCTATATTCATGGATTCGAAGACTATATACAGTAAAGATGTCAATTTTCCTCAATTTACTATACAAATTTAATCCAATTTCTAACAAATTTCCAAGTTTTTTTGTAGGTATAGACAAACTTATTTCAAAATTTATATGGAAGAGCAAAGAAACTAAAATAGCCAAAACAACTTTTAAAAACAAAAATAACATGGGAAGAACCAGTCTACCAGGTTTCAAATATGGCACTAGTTGAAGGGATAGATACATAGATTATTTGAATAGAAAAGAAATCTCAAAATAGAACCAAAGATGCCCAACTGTCTTTTGGTAAAGGTGCAAAATAATTAAATAAATATCATGATTCAGTAACGGAGCCATTGCTGCCGGAGCAATTGGACATCTATAGGCACAAAAGTTAACCTTGACTCAGATATCACACCTTTCACTAAAATTAAGTCAAAATAGACAATAAATGTAAAATGTAAAGAAATAAAACTTTTTAGAAAACTGCAAATCTTTTTAGGAGAAAATCTTCAAGATTTAGGGCTAGGCAGAGAGTTCTTAGACTTGACATCAAAAGCATGATCAATAAAAGAAAAAAAATACATTAGATTTGATCAAAATTAAGAAATTTTACCCTGAAAAAAACCTTCTTAGGGTAATGATAATCTACAGTATGAGAGAAAATAATCTTTAAAACTGCTTAAAATTCTATAGTAAAAAAGACCCTGAAAATTAAACTGAAAAATAGGCAAAAATGATGAACACATATTTCACTGGAGATGATATTCGAACGGCAAATAAGCGTATGAAAAGATGAAGAAATGCAAGTCAGGGAAAGGTAAGTTAAAACCACGTGATACTGTCACTACTCACTTATCACAATGGACAAAACAAAAATAGTGACAACACTAAATCCTGGTGAATATGCAGAGAAACTGGATCACTCATACATTGCTGAGGGAAATGTAAAATGGCACAGCTACTCTGGAAAGCAACTAGAGAACTAAACATGCACCAGCCCTGTTGCTAGAAAAAATTTAAAAACAAGTTATGCCCAGTGTTCTCCTTACTTGTTATAAATAACAAAAATCCCATTGTCGAGCTTCTGCACAGCAAAAGAAACTGTCAACAGAGTAAACAGACAATCTACAGAATGGGAGAAAATTTTTGCAAACTATGCATCCAACAAAGACCTAATATCCAGCGTCTACAAGGAACTTAAACAAATTTACAAGAAAAAAACAACCCCATAAAAAAGAGAGCCAACAACATGAACAGAGAGTTTGCAAAAGACGACATACACGTGGCCACGAATCACATAAAGAAAAGCTCAACATCACTGATCATTAGAGAAATGCAAATCAAAACCAGTGAGTTACTATCTCACTCAAGTCAGAATAGCTTATAATTATTATAATTATTATTTTATTTATTCATTTGTTTAAGTTCCAGGGTACATGTGCATGATGTACAGGTTTGTTACATAGGTAAACGTATGCTGTGGTGGTTTGCTGCACCTATCAACCCGTTACCTAGGTATTAAGCTCAGCATGCATTAGCTCTTTTTCCTAACTCTCTTCCCTCCCATTCTCCCTCAACAGGACCCAGTGTGTGTCGTTCCCCTCCCTGTGTCCATGTGTTCTCATTGTTTAGCTTTCACTTATAAGTGAGAACATGCAGTGTTTGGTTTTCTGTTCCTGTGTTATTTTGCTGAGGATAATGGCCTCCAGCTCCATAAATGTCCCTGCAAAGAACATTTCTTTTTATAGCTGCATAGTATTTCATGGTGGACATATACCACATTTTCTTTATCCAGTCTATCATTGATGGGCATTTGGGTAGATTCCATGTCTTTGCTATTGTGAATGGTGCTGCAATGAACATATGTGTGTATGTATCTTTATGGAATGATTTATATTCCTTTGGATAAATACCCAGGAATGGAATTGCTGGGTCAAATGGTAAAATGGTATTTCCAGTTCTAAATCTTTGAGGAATTGTCACACCGTTTCCACAATGGTTTAATGAATTTACATTCCTACCAACAGTGTAAAAGCATTCCTATTTCTTCACATCTATTGTTTCTTGACATTTTAATAATCACCACAGAATAAATGTCATTAAAAAGTCAAAAAAATAACAGGTGCTGGTGAGGTTGCAGAGAAAAAGGAATGCTTATACACTGCTGGTAGGAATGTAAATTAGTTCAGTCATTGTGGAAGACAGTGTGGTGATTTGTCAGACTTAAAGACAGAAATAGAATTCAACCCAGCAATCCCATTACTGAGTATATACTCAAAGGAATATAAATAATTCTATTATAAAGATGTATGCATGTGTATGTTCATTGCAACACTATTCACAATAGCAGCAACATGGAATCAACCCAAATGCCCATCAATAATAGACTGGATAAAGAAAAAGTGGTGCATGTACACCATGCAATACTATGCAGCCATGAAAAAGAACGAGGTCATGTCCTTTGCAGGGACATGGATGGAGCTGGAGGCCATCATTCTCAGCAAACTAACACAGGAACAGAAAACCAAATACTATATGTTCTCACTTACAAGTGGGAGCTAAATGGTGAGAACACATGGACACATAGAGGGGAACAACATATGCTGGGGTCTATGGGAGGATAGGGGTGGGAGGAGGGACAGGATCAGGAAAAATAACTAATGAATACTAGGCTTAATACCCCTATGACAAAAGTTTACCAATGTAACAAACCTGTACATGTACCCAAGAACTTAAAAGTTAAAATAATAAAATAAACAAATCTGAAAAAATGAGCACATTCTTTGACTTTAATATAACCGGCTGTAAGACATTCATGACTAACAGGGGAAGGATAGAGTGGGTAGCCAAACATTATAGTTAAGACCCTCTTTGGAAGTAACACAAGAAGATCATCTCTGAGAGCAGTCTTTTTTTTTTCCTCGATGAACTTTACCTTGTACTTCCTGAGGTATTTGGTTCTCAGACTTGAGCATGCCCTTCAGGTGTTTTGAGAGATTTGCAGCCAAATCAGAATTCCCAGAAAGAGAAAAGGGCACAATGGTTTGACCATATTGACCCAAATCCATTTGCCTGATAATTTCATCCTCTGAAGTGTGACCAGAACTTAAGAGAAAGGCAACGGAGCCTATGAGTCCCAGGATCTGTAACAAAAGCAGTTTCCAGTTGCGCCAGTTGAATAAGACCCTCTTTACGAACATGGCATGGAACTGCTGGCTGTAGAGAGAACACTAAGGAAAAAAGAGAAAAACGCAACATTACAACAGTCATAGACCCAAGCGTGCCATTCATGTTGAACTTCATTAAGACAAATGCTTTGAAATTCTGTGGTATGAACATATACGAGTTTTATATTATAAACACATCAAGTTTATAGAAGTAAATACTTGGACTAGAACCTAAGAGTAGCATAACAGGACACAGCTGTATGATCGATCTTTTCTTTGTATGAGGCAGGGGTCAACAAACTATGGCCCTATGGTCTGTTTTTATAAACAAAGTTTTATTGGAACACAGTTATGTCCATTTATTTCTCTATTTTCATGGTTCTTTTTGCGCTGTAATGACAGACTTGAGTAATTGTGACAGAGACCAGATGGCCTGTTAAGCCTTCAATATTTGTTATCTCTTTACATAACATTTACTGACCTCTCCTGTAAGATGTTAAATGTTTATCGTTTGGCTTTAGATGTAACACACAAAAATTTTAGAAGGACGATTTTCCTCAGACCCTTGATAGCCAAGAAAACTATGGTGCTGTATAGAAGAAATTGATGAATGAAAAAAATATTTGGCAACTCAGAGAATTCCCACATGAGGGATCATAGTGATTAGGGGACTATCCCTTACACAGTAACAATTCTCATTAGGAAAACTTAAAATACCTAAAATATTGTGAATATTTAATTGTTAAAAATCAGGCTCACTAGTCCTCTTAATTTAGCCTCAATAAACCAACACATTTTGTAGTTACTGATTTGAAAAGAAATGAATTCTAAAAAGGGGAAAAAAAAAAAGGATGGAGGAATAACAATGGTGAAAGCAAATAGTTGATATCTAGGACCCATCACTTCTGCATTAGAAAGCTGATTAGGAAGTGGCATAGGCTGCTCACCATCTGGTCGACAAATTGTACCTCTTGTACTCCAACCATATATACACCAGGTTTCTTGGTAAATGTGCTTACCCCAGTATTAAAGTGAATAGTAGGGCTTTCATTCAGGGTGGGAGGGTCTGCTCTCTCAACATTTCTTGACATGTTCTTATTCCAGTTCCTGTTAGACGATTGGCCCACCTGGGAGGAAGACTGCATAGCTTTGATATCTGTTTGTGACTCTTCCATGTAACTGACCCTATATAAAAAAGTACAAAGTATTTCATTTCAACCTCATCCCAATATACCCTATTTGGAGAATGTGAGTTGCAGCCCCCAACTCAGAAGGCTCCTTGGTATGCTCATTGCTGGGCAGAAATCATTACTTGGAAGCAACATGGTACTTGTGGTAGAGTAATGGTTCCCACACATGTCCTGTTGCCCTTAAATTACTATTGGATAAAACCTGAAAGCCTGGGGAGCTTACAAAGGGAACTAAGACATGTTCTTTTCCCTCCAAGGATTTTCTTTTCCCCATACATTGTTACTCACTTGAAGAAGACTTCTTCCATGGTAGTGACAGAGGCACCAAAGCTAGCAATGCCCAGGTTTTCTTGCTCTTGTTCCAGAGCAGTAAACAGAGCTTCAAAACTAGGAATAGAAGCGGAACAGAAAAAACTAGCACCAAACCAGATGATTTTCATATTTATGTCTTTTTCTTCTAAGATGATTTCCCCTTAGCAGTAGAGAAAATGTAGATCATTTTGTATTTCGAGGCTTATTGTAGTTTTATGCCTCTGGTAAATCAGAAAGGTGGCACAAATGTAGAGAAAGAACTAGCAAATTGCTATAGTAATTTATTTTCTGAATTTTATGCAAAGTACACATATCATTTCATACTTAAAGAAAAAAGAGAATATGAGTGAATCCACTCTGCTTAGTTCTTGGATACACATATTGTTGGTCTTCTAAGACAACGGTCAGGAGGCTCTATATATGTTAATACCTCTAGTCAGTGAATATGAGTTAACACACGTGTATGCTATGGTTCCTATTACTCAGTAAAAAAAAAAAATCATCCACAATAATAAAAAGAGATACTCAAAAATAGAAAATGGAGTAAGTGCTGTAAAACTTAAAGACTTAAAAACGAGAGAACTATGTGATTAAATGTACAGAAAAGTCTATGGAAGTTGAGCAGATGAAATATGGACACATCAAGTCTTTTAAAGAATGGTCTTCCTGGGAATGTATTACAGAATGTTGTGTTCAAACAATTATCTTTTTCAGAAACCTCCAGTTCTCAAATCCATCTCTATCATATTCCCGGTAAAGGTCAATTAAATCTATCTTTCCACAGACTCAGTGTTAGGGGAATTAAAATTTTTCTTTTAGAAAATCTATCAAAATTGCCTCCATATTCAAGCTTACATTCTGTCTAGTTTTGCACATTAGTTCTAATTTTACACCTCAAGGTTATTTAGAATAGATATAATCCATCTGTGTGACAGCCAGCATTTGACATATCTTAAGTCCATTTTCTCTTATGTTTCTTCATTTTCAATATATGACTTCTCAGCTAGGATTCACTCTTATTTTCTTCTTTTTCATTTTTTAATTTGGGCTGAGTGTGGCGGCTCATGCCTGTAATACCAGCAGTTTGGGAGGCCAAGGTAGAAGGATTGCTTGAGGCCAGGAACTTGAGACCAGCCTATGCAAAATAATGAGACCTCATCTCTTAAAAACAAAAAATTAGGTGAGCATGGTGGTGCATGCTTGTGACTCCAGCTACTCATAAGCTGAGATGGGAGGATTGCTTGAGCCCAGGAAGTAAAGGTTGCAGTGAGTTGTGATTGTACCACTGCACTTCAGCTTGGGTGATAGGGCACCTAAGCTTGTCCCCCACCAAATAAATTAATGTGTGTACATTGTACAAAATTCAGAAAATAAGCGTATAAATAAAAATTATCATAGTACCATCCATCAAAGATAACCACTGTTAATACACTAATATTTTGGCAAAATTATTTTTGGTTCTTTTGGCTTTATACACTATATGACAAAGTTAGAATTAAATTGTGTATTGCTTTAAATGTATTAATATAGCACAAAGTGTTGATAACCTAAACATCCATCATCAGTTTAATAAGCAAATAAATTAAGGTATAAATATATGATAGAATAAGATATAATTAAAATGTAGATTTCTCCACAGTCATTTTATAAATGAAGAAAGCCTACAATTCCTAACATAGAAAGTTAGGTGAGAAATGCTGGTGAGTGAACAAGACAAGATTCAGAACATCAGTATGGTAGGATTCCATTTCTAAAAAACTTTTATTATGGGCTGGGCGTGGTGGCTCACGCCTGTAATCCCAGCACTTTAAGATGCCAAGGCAGGTGGATCATCTGAGGCCAGGAGTTTGAGACCAGCCTGGCCAACATGGTGAAACTCTGTCTCTACTAAAAATGCAAAATTAACTAGGTGTGGTGGTGTGCACCTATAATCCCAGCTACTCAGGAGGGTGAGGCAGGAGAATTGCTTGAACCTGGGAGACAGGTTGCAGTAAGCCAAGATCACACCACTGCACTCCAGCCTGGGCAACAGAATGAGACTCCATCTCAAGGAAAATAAAAATAAAAAACTTTTACTATGATTGTACACATGTCAATACATGCATGCAGTATTCTTGAAAAATATGCATCAAACAAAAACAAAACAAACACACACAAAAAGAAAAACGCAAACTCTTTTCAGAGATTACTTCTATGGAAAGTAATTATGAGAGACTTTTAATTTCTAATGAACATACTCCAGAAATAAATATGCTCTTTAATTTTTATCATGCAACCATAAGTAGATTAGCAAACTCTAGCTTCCTTAGTGATACAGCAATCAGTAAACAAAACAGCACAATAGAGAAATAAAAAAGACAAATTATTTCATGAGCCATTTGTATTATAAAGTTATATTATGAATCTGACCACCTCACATATACCTTTTATAATTATATAAGTTTATATACCTGTTTTTTCTAATTATATGCATTATATATTATAGATAATACATATAGTTAATAAATATAGATATTATATAGATAGTATATATTATCTTTTGGGGAGAATAGAGAAAAACTTAAAAAGAATCTGACTATTCCAAGTATATCCCTGTTAACTATTTGATGTACTTCTTTCCATCACAACATATATTTTTAGATTTTTTTTCTTGTGTTCTGAGGTGCAACATATATAAAATGCACTAAGTTGCAAATGATTTTTTCCATATGAGCATACCTGGATAACATCCAGATAAGACAGAGAACAGTTTCAACGTCCCAGAGGGGGATTCCAAGATGCCCCTTTCTGGTTAACCCCCTTATCTGCACACACAGATACACATACACATGTGCATATACACACAACATATGGTAACAATCCTATTAGAATTCTAGAAGCAAAGATTCGTTTTGCATTTTCTTGAGTGTTGTATCAACAGCATCTTACAGTATGCACTTTTTTGGCCCAACAAAATGTCTTTGAGGCTTCCTCATGCTGTTGCCTATACCACTAGTTCACTTTTTTATTCCTGAGTGGTATTCATCTATTTCCTGCTAATGGACATTCTGGTTGTTTTTGATTTGGAGCTAATATGGATAAAGTGACTGTGAGTACAAACATTATTTTACATGTATTTTAATGGACTGGTCCCTCCTAGGTATGTACTAGGAGTGTGATCACTAGGTCATAGGGTAAGCACATACTTAGCTTACCAGAAATGACCAAATATTTTACAAAGCAGGTTTACCACTTTACACTTCTCTCAGCAATGAGAGCCAATTGCCATGTTCACATGTTATAGTCCATCTTTTTAGTTTTAGCCATTCTAGGGTTTGTGTAGTGGTAACGTGATACTCTCTCCTTATTCTTCAGTAATTTTGCTCATAATTCTGGGAAGAATTTTTGACATAGTCTTTTCTTTCATCAGTTCTGCTATTTTCAGCCATAATTACTTGCTGAGTTATTTATTACCCGATTGAGACTTTATCTCATTTTTCCTCTTCAGAACTGCTAGGTCTAGATTCATAGCATCTTCTTTAATTTAATTGAGGCTACAAAGCAAAGAGTTTCAAAAGTTTTCTATTTTTGTAGTACACTTATTTTCAAAATTGGCATTTCTTATGACTTCTTAGTGTGCTCCTGTTCTTCCAAAATTTAGTTTTTTGTCCACAGTCCATTCTTTCTCTCTCATCTTTATGAGAGGAGGTTGATATTTCTGCAGGATCAACATACAATTATATACAATTTCAGGAGGAAATTATATCTAAGACTGAGGGGTGATTTTACTTGATAAAGTGATTTTTCTTCTAAGTTCTCATTCCAGGTATTGTTTTTTCTTTTCTTCTTTCTTTTTTTCCCCAAATCAACTTTGGTATCATTGGTGTTATCTATTTATGAAGCTTAAAATTAGGATAAGACATCTCCAGTTTTCTTTTTCTTTGAGATTGATTTTGCTTTTGTTGCCCAGACTGGAGTGCAATGGCACGTGGCTCACTGTAACCTCAGCCTCCTGGGTTCAAGTGATTCTCCTGCCTCAGCCTCCTGAGTAGCTGGGATTACAGGCATGCACCACCATGCCTGGCTAATTTCGTATTTTTAGTACAGACGGGGTTTCTCCACGTTGGTTAGGCTGGTCTCGAACTCCTGACCACAGGTGATCTGCCTGCCTCAGCTTCCCAAAGGGTTGCGATTACAGGCGTGACCCACCATGCCTGGCCATGCCTCCAGTTTTCTAACATCATGGTATAGATAGAAAAGGAAAAATTTTGGAGTTAAATGGGCCTGTGTTCAATTTCAGCCTGTATCAGTAATAATTATTTTATTTAATCTTTCCATTTGATCTACTATTAATATTATGATTTGATTGAATCTTTCTGACCTTAAGAGTCATCATATCATTTGTAAAAAGGTAAAAATAAATATATTTTATAGGCTCTTTGTCACAGTGTTATTTCACTTTAGCATTTATTCCTTTATAGCCCTTTCATCGTGATCTGAGTGGCTTGTATGTACCACATGTTCATTTGGAGACTGGAATTTATTTGCAGCTGTGAGGAACACTCTGAAAACATCTTCTTCCATTTTGCTTATGTGTACCGTTTTAATTAAAAGATCATTCTCTTTGATAAAAAAGGTTGAATTTAAAGAGGAGTTGAGGAATTTAGTTTCCTTAATGAGAGCATCAAAGCTTCTTTTCCTTGACATTCTTGGACAAGACATAATTTCAGATTTTTCTTTTTCTTAATGCCAGATCCCAACTTCAAAATCTCATTTTAATATAAATGGAGGCAAAACTAGAAGAAATCAAGGTGCATAAAAAGAGGCATTGCCAAAGCAGAACTCATGCCATACATTTTCATCTGGATCTATCATGTTCATGTTTAATTTACCATCTATTTTTTCCTGATTAACCTGCTGGTCCTAATCTCAAATAGCTTTGTTTCCATTCCACAACATAGAGTTTTTGTAACCCTCACATATCTTTCCAACTGTGCTGCTTAGGAGGCAACCTTGCTCAAGATACCTCAAACTCTTAAAAAAGAGTACAATGGGGTAGGTGCGGTGGCTGATGTGGGCAGATCACCTGAGGTAGGGAGTTCGAGACCAGCCTGACCAATATGGAGACACTCCGTCTCTACTAAAAATATAAAATTAGCCAGGTATGGTGGCACACGTCTGTAATCCAAGCACTTGGGAGGCTGAGGCAGGAGAATTGCTTGAACCTGGGAGGCAGAGGTTGCGGTGAGCTGAGATTGCGCCATTGCACTCCAGCCTGGGCAACAAGAGCGTAACTCTGTCTTGGAAGAAAAAAAAAGAGTACAATGGAACTACTTTTAAAATTTCCTTTGAATAGCATATTAGACTTCCTAATAATGTGTATCTGAATCTATCAAGTTCTGTCCTCCTTTTCTGCCATGAAGTCTACTGTGGTGTATATTAAACTCTCCCAAAGTTATCTGACATTTTATTTTTTTAAAATCTGCAATCGACATTTTCTTGATGATCAGAATTAGCTGTACAGTAGCAGTTTCTTTCTCATTTCCTCCATCTTCCTAGGAAATTTAATAGTTGGCAAGAAAAGTCAGGAATGTGTCAGAAGACCAGTAGTAATACAAGTCTATATACATATATACTCTTGTAATATATATTACAAGTCTATACTTGAATTATTCCCTTTACTACGAATCTCACTTAAACAAACGTGTATCAGGATTATACACTTCCTCCTCCTAGCTTGCAGGAGTTTCACAAAATGATATATAACTTATTTTTCCTCCTGTAGTCACCCATTGTTTTTTCTGTACATTTCTACCTTCTAGATCTAGAATTTTAAGCATATAAATATTCCCTGATATGTAGCACTATTCTGATGCATCTCATATATCTATCATTCCACTGTTACATTCTAAGCTTAGGTTTCATCCTATCAAGTCTCAGCATTATTTTACAAGTTATGACCTTGTGTTAAAATTGCTTTTTCTTTTCTTTAGACAGGGTCTCACTTTGTGACCCAGGCTGGAGTGCAGTGGTGTGATCTCAGCGCACTGCAGCCTCAATTTTCTGAGCTCAAGTGATCTGCCCACTTTGGCCTCCCAAAGTGCTAGGATTACAGGTGTGAGCCACCATGCACAGCTTGTTTTAAAATTTCAGGATGACTTTCCTTGTGAGATATATTCAATAAATTGTAATACAGGTATATGTGATTAAACATTACTACTTTTATGTTCCATAGTATTTATTCAGGCAAATAAATACATATCAGAACAATGTCTGGTAGAAACTAAGCGCTCAATTGCTGTTAGCTATCAAAATTTTAGCTGGGGTAGAAGTCACTGAGTATTTAACCATCATTTCATTCTTTTCATATTATACTCCGAAATAACTGGATTTATAGGTAATTCTTTTTCTTATATTTTCTTCCTCCCAATTCTTTTAGCTTAAAGCTCTCCCTGTTAGAGAAAATGTCATCCTGAGCAAATATATACATTCCTAAATTCATTATTTTCATTTTATTTTGTACTGTGTCTATCATTCTGTATCTACAGCCCAGATATCTACAATCAGTTGTTCACCTTCTAGAGTATCTTCATATTTCTCTGAGTGCAAATGATTAGCAAGATGATATGTTCTCACTATATTATCTGCTTCCAAGTCCTCTCATTTCCTGTCTTACATATAATCTCAACATGACGCTTCTGATCTTGTCTGAGAATGCCATTTGTGGTCATGCACATCAGACAGGTAGATAGTGTGGCAAGTTTAAGCAAGCTCTCCATCTGTGTCTCTCCTTCAGATGGATTCTGTAGCTCCTGGTGGATCATGACTACAACCCTGGGCTAGGGCATCAACATAAAATCTGCCTCCCACTTTGGCTACATGAGTCAACTGCCTTGTATCTCTAGGGCAACACATCTAGAATTTTATTTCCAGTTTTTCACTGTATTTAATTCTTCCACTTCAGCTTATGATTAGGGTCTTGGTTCTACTCCACTGCCTGATTAGCTGCCCCAAGCTGCTGTGCAAGAATTTCCTGATGTTCTTTTTTTCTTTTTTTTTGAGACAGAGTTTCACTCTTGTCACCGAGGCTGGAGTGCAAGGGTGCGATCTCAGCTCACTGCAACCTCCGCCTCCCAGATTCAAGCAATTCTCCTGCCTCAGTCTCCTGAGTAGCTGGGATTACAGGTGCATGCCACCATGCCTAGCTAATTTTTGTATTTTTAGTAGAGATGAGGTTTCACTATGTTGGTCAGGCTGGTCTTGAATTCCTGACCTCAGGTAATCCACTCGCCTAAGATTCCCAAAGTGCTGGGATTACAGGCATGAGCCACCAAGCCTGGCTGAACGTCTCAATTTTCTGAGTGAACAAAACCCAAATGGTACAGTTCTTCTTCCTTGCCTTTTTCTTTATGACACATTCTTGTTGTTCTTGAAAGTCTTCCTTTTTAAAATTCCCCAACCCCCATATTCTTTATGAATATTATAACTGGCTTCAATTTAGAGAATGCCAAAGTAACTACTTACTTGTATATGACAAGAAGCTAAAATATGATACTCTGAAAGTCACCTATGAATACTCTTAGTTTCTGTTTCCCTTTTTTAGGATAGTTATCATGGGAAAAGTTATTTTCCTTTGGAACTTCCTTTGATGAGTAACTTGGCTAACTGATGCATTCAAACTGCCTATTTCCTCTCGGTTTGTGTCATTCTAAGAGTCATATTTAAGCCATCCATTTTTTTCCTCTCGTTATCTTATTATTTCTCTTTACACAACTCACCAGGAGTAACTTTTTACTCTACCAAAAACATTCATCAATTATCCCAATTAATACCAGAAAACTATAGCCATTAGGTGCATCTCTCTTTTCAGTGCAAATGGCAGCTGTAACAGGATTTTTGTCTTGTTAAATAAACTCTACTTGCTAAGCCTGAAGAAACTAGGAAAAGAAACAATGATTTCTGGCTATCTAAGAATTACTCACTTAGCATTCTCTGGATCCATACCTGTGTGCATAATTTTTGGGTAGAATAAATGATAATTCAGTTCCAACATTGTTCTCCAAAGTGGCTGTCGGTATATAATGATGAATCAATTTTGAGATTTCTGTGACATTACAGTCAGGCGTCTTCACCATGACAATGTGGTATCCCACACCTGAGAAAAATCCATGTAGAAGAACAGATAAAACAATTTCTTACTTCCCATACTTGTGAGATCACATGTGACTTTCATTACTTGGGTAAGCTAGAAGACACAGCATGTCACAAATCATTTAATTACAGCTCAAGGAGCCTAATAAGTCATTCTTTTATAACTTCATTATTTCTCTAAGGGACCGATAATGACCTGGATTATATAATCAGATAGAGCAAAGACAGGATGAAAAGCCTCTGTTATCTGGCTTCTCATCCTACTAACACCGAAATCTGAGAGGACGAGATTAATATGCATTAAACATATATTTGTTGGGTGTCTACTACATACCAGGTAGTATATATGTCAGATAAAAATATCTTCAGAAATCAAAGAAATTGGTCAGGTGCAGTGGCTCATGCCCATAATCCCAGGATTTTGGGAGGCAGATGTGGGTGGATCACTTGAGGTCAGGAGTTCAAGACCAATCTGGCCAACATGGCAAAACCCCATCTCTACTAAAAATACAAAAATTAGCTGGGCATGGTGGTGGGCACCTATAATTCCAGCTACTTGGGAGGCTGAGGTAGGAGAATCGCTTGAACTCTGGAGGCAGAGATTGCAGTGAGCCAAGATCATGCCATTGCACTCCAGCCTGGACGACAAAGTAAGACTCTGTCTCAAGGGGGGAAAAAAAGAAATCTTTCCAAAGTACTCTGTGTCTTCACTATGTGCACTTCAGTGGCCTTAAAGAAGCTAAGAGCGGGGTAAGGTAGCAGAGAAAATACCTCTGGGACACTCCAGGACTTCGCAGAAAATACTGAAGCAGCATTTTATTCACAACATCAGTCACAAAAAATAAAAAAAATGCAAAGAAACAAGAAAATGTAAAAGCCAGGTACAGTGGCTTATGCCCATGATCCCAGCATTTTGTGGGGTCAAGGCAGGAGGATTGCTTGAGGTCAGGAGTTTAGAACTCTATGATGGAAAAACCAATAAAAACAACCATAGAGATTGTCTCAGATGTAGGAATTACGACAGCAAGACTTTAAAATAATTCTTATACATATGTTAAATAATCCAGTGGAAATGGAAAAACAAAACAAAACATGGTGTGAACAGATGAGCAATCTGCAGACTCATGCCTATAATCGCAGCACTTTGGGAGACTGAGGTGGGTGGATCATGTAAGGTAGGGAGTTTGAGACCAGCTGACCAACATGGAAAAACCTCATCTCTACTAAAAATACAAAACTAGCTGGGCATGATGACGCATGCCTGCAATCCCAGCTACTTGGGAGGCTGAGGCAGGAAAATAGCTTGAACCTGGGAGGCAGAGGTTGTGGTGAGCTGAGATTGCACCATTGCAATTCAGCCTGAGCAACAGCGCTAGACTCTGTCTCAAAAAAAACCAAAAAACAAACAAATGGAAATACTAGAAAAATACATGACAAATAAATTCATTCAATGATCATAACAGCAGGCTAGACAGAAAAGAACCAATAAACTTGAAAATAGGTCATTAAAGTGAACACAAGAAGAAAGAAGAACATAAGTGAACATACAACCCAAGATGTATACGACAATATCAAAAACTCTAACGTAAGTAACAAGTACCAGAAGAGGAAACATTCAAAGAGATAATGGTGGATTTTAAAAAAATAACGAAAAAATCAACCCATGTACCCCCCAAAACTAAGAAAATCTTAAGAAGATTAAATAACAAGAAAATGCTGACACAAGATGGAGATCAAGGTATGGGAAGGACAAGTGTAACATGCAAATTTCTGAAGACCAAAGATAACCAGAAATCCCAGAAACAGCCAGAGGAAAAAAGACACATTTAGTAGAGTTAATGATAAGAATGAAATGATTTCTCAGCAGAAATATAGAAGCCAGTTGCTTCTATTATTAAATGGCATCTTTAATATTCTCGAAAAAGTGTCAGACAAAAATTATATATCCATTGAAAATATCCATAAATATTAAGTAGGGAACTGCATATTACCAGGTGTTAAGAAATATACCAGTTTGGTAATCAGGTACTTTCTCAAAAATGCTAAATATTAATGGTATTACACCCAGATTTCCTCAATTACTCTAAGGGATCATTAAACTTTTCCTATAAAGGGCCAGCGAGCCAGTATTTTATGCAGTAACATCTAGTCTCTGTTGCAATTACTCAACTCTGTCACTGTAACACAAAACAGCCATAAACAATGTGAGCAAGTAAGTCTGGCTATGCTTCAATAAAACTAGGAACACCAAAATTTGAATTTCATATGATTTTCATGTGTCATAAACTATTATTCTTCTCTTTATATTTTTAAAACATTCTCAGCTTGCAGGTTGCACAAACACAGGTGACCTTTGTCTCAAGGGCTTTAGTGTGCTGACTCCTGCTTTGTGGAATAACTTTTAGATCTCTCTATATTTATTTGGGTACAGAATGTTTTGCTAGCTGAATTTTAATGGGCCAATGTAGTCATTTCTAAAGTTGACTAATTTGATGGGAAGCAAATATATATGCTGGAAATCACCATTCAGATCGCATCATTCAGATCACTAGAGACTAACTTCCTAGTTTCTCTGCATGAAGATGGAACTTTCTTTTGGTCTTGGATATGAGTGACAAGGATGACTGAATAATGTTTGTGTCATTATTCCAAAGAAGAGAGTTAAAATATTTTCTTGTACATATTTGTATCACTAAGCCAAGCATAATTTTGGTTCCCGTGACTAGTTAATGAGGGTCAAGTTATTTAACTCTGTGGCTATCATTTGCTTCATTTCTAAAGAAAAATATGTATATTTTTACATATTATAGTCATGTCATGGAACTAGTATATTTCCTGTGGTCACTCCTAATACTTAAGGTCAATGACCAACCTTTTTATTTCATAAGAAAAAGATATGAGAATATTTATACAGGAAAAATCTAGAAGTTTTGGTGCTTCAACATACAGAAGCTTAAGAATTGAGTAAATGTACTTGCAAATATGAACTATTTAATGACATATCTGATGTTATATGTGATATATAATATATATAAATATATATAAACATATATTCATTTAAAAGGCAATTAACTTTTTAATAAAAAAGTAATGATATATCATAGTGTTTATGACATGATTAACATGTAGAAAACCCTTGGGAACCGCATACATAAGTTTGCAGTTACTAGAAGGGTTTTATCCATAAACTTTGTTGGGTACTTACGAAAACATTGAAGAAGTGTAAGAGAGCAGATAAAGCCTCCCTGGTAGAGACCTCAGCAATAAATAGCCATCACTGCAGGAAAGGCAGGATGTACTACCTAGATCCTTGTCTCCTATGCAGCTAAAGGCTTAAGGTGCTGAGGGAAGGCCTGAAAACCCAGTTACCCCAAGCCCAGATGAAGCTCCATTGAAGACATGAAAAGAGAACCTCTATCTCTGACACGGAGGCAGAAAATCACCAGGGTCTTGAACATCGAATCTCTTAAAATGCTATGCAAGGGGAAGAACCACTAGAAAACCTCTACCTGAGTCCTGGACACAAAGTCTACCTAAGACTGCGGTTGAACCATGGCAACAGAGAATGACATGCCAAACCCTCAACCCCAGGCTCACAAGCATTAAGTACTTATAACAGCAGAGTACCACCTGATGAGGGAAAAGAGCAAAGAGGGAAAACTATAATAGAAAGAGCTTCACAGACAAAGACTAAAGCTAAAGGTGTAATAGGAACATTAAGAAACACTTGGCAGCCTAGCCCACATGCTAAGCACAAGGTATGGCAAGACAAATTTGAAGCTGTGGTGAATTAAGGTAGCCATAATAATAAAACTCAAGCTCAACTTCTGATTAGACTGACTCAATCCCATGTACTAAGGGCCTTCAGATGGAAAGGTGCATCATGTTCAGGCAAAATTATTTACATTAGTCTTTACTGTCCTAAGGCAATTTCCAACTTTTTTTTTTTTTTTTTTTTTTTTTGACAAAGTCTGCCTCTGTTGCCCACGCTGGAGTGCAGTGGCACAATCTTGGCTCACTGTAACCTCCGCCTCCTGGGTTCAAGTGATTCTTCTGCCTTGGCCTCTCGAGTAGCTGGGACTACAGGTACTTGCCAACACGCATGCCTGGCTAATTTTAGTATTTTTAGTAGAGACGGAGTTTCACCATATTGGCCAGTCTGGTCTTGAATTCCTAACCTCATGATCCTCCCACCTCGGCCTCCCAAAGTGCTGGAATTACAGGCATGAGTCACCGTGCCTGGGCTGCAATTTCCAGCTTTCAACCAAAATTATAAGGAACACAGAAAAGAACAAACTGTAAAGAGATAAAGTGATCAATGAAACCAGATCCATATATTCAAGATGCTGTAACTATCAGAGAATTTAAAATTGCTACAATAAGAGTTACCACATTATAAGATTCAAATGTTGAGTTTTAACAAGAAAATTCTTGGGATATAAAAAGAAACAGGAAACAATGATCTCTCCAAAGGAGCAAAAGAAATCAAAAGAATCATACCTAAGGAAGCACAGGTGTTGAATTTTCTAGACAAAGACTTTAAAACCGCCATCTTAATGATGCTCTAGGAGCTAAAGAAAGACATGGAAAAAAATCAGGAAAACAATGTTTGAACAAAATGAGATTATGAATTAAAAGAGAGAAAGTATGAAAAGAAACCAAAGAAGCACAAAGCTAAAAAGTAGAAAAACTGAAAAGTATACTAGAAGGTTGAAAGCAGATTTGAGCAAGCAGAAGAAAGTAACAGAGGACTTGAAGATAAGACAATTAAAACAACATATTCTGAGGAACAGAATAAAAAAGAATGAAGAAAAGTGATCAGAGACTAAGGAACTTGTGGGACACCAAGAAGCAGACCAATCAATATAAACACAATGGGACTTTAGAAGGTGAAGAGAGCCCATAACTAACATCATACTTGATTGAAAAAGACTTCAAGCCTTCCCTCTAAGATCAGGAACAGATAAGGATGTCCACTTTCACCTCTGCATTTACCATTTTACTGAAAACTGTAACCAGAAATACAATTAAGAAAAGAAAGCATTCAGATAGGAAAGGAAGAGATAAAACTATCTCTATTTGCAGACAAAATGATATTACATATAGAAAATCCCAAAGAACCCAGAAGAAAGTTACTTGTGGAAACAAATTCATCCAAGTTAAAGTATGCCAGATCAGTATACATAAATTAGTTAAGCATTCATTCATTGAGGGATATTGAGGTTGTTTCCAGCTTTGGGCTATTATGAATAAAGCTGATATAAACATTCATATGCAGTTTTCCCTTC